AAGAACGATCACTAGGTTTGGTGAAAATGTGTCCATATCTATTGCGGCTTACACCACACTCACACCAGTATTCGCCGAGGTCGAGGACCGCAAGTGCGTATTAGTCTAAATGTGTCGTGGGATCAACGCTTCGCCGTTGGAGTATACAATGCATGGAATTCGAGAGCTTGAGCAAGCCAATCACATAACTGCACAACTGAGTGCATACGTAAAACTTACGGAACCTGTTGTTCTGAGGAACAAGGGATAAGACATACCACCGGTTTTCTTATTCTGCTTGAAATGAGTTTCCTTCGGTTTCAAGTCGTATATCGGCTTTCACCAACTGACTTTAATCGAACGACCGGTATAAAGCAACGCTCGCTAGTAGAGTAGACCGTTCTCAATATTAGGAAGCGGGAGTTCGCGTTCACGAAGTATCGACCAATGCATGTGGGTGAATGTGGATGCGAAACTTGCATCGTAATGTCCTATCGCCAATGCATCCCTCACCTTCAGTGATGGTCGCAGTAAAAGTGGTTGTCGCAAAGTACTCCGAGGTGATGGTCAATTTCACATAGTATTTTGCGCCATCTCTGCATCAGCATATTGGCGTATAAGTGCACAGAAAGATGACAGAACATTCGCTATCAACCGCTGACGGAGTTGACGGACATGTGACTTTTTCCGGGATGAGTGTCAACGAGCATATGCTGCTTGATTGTGAATGCGAAATCGGTTTAACGCTCGAAACGTTCATGCAAGTGGCCATTGACATAATATCGACCGGTCGTGGTTTATTCACTCAGCAGCTCCCTTTGTTCCAAAAAAATATAGAGAGATCAACAGAATGTTGAAAATTCGTTTTCGTTGCTCGGGTAAACTGATTTCCATTCCGCCTGTTCACCGAGCTTGTCAATTCGTTTGCAAACGTTTCATCACCAGACGAGGTGACATCATCAGTACCACTTCACAAGCACTGACGATGTCACCTCGGCTGGTGATGAAACGTTTGCAAACGAATAGACCAGCCCGACGAACAGGTGAAATGGAATATATAGATATCGCTGCGTATAAAGAAACATTTGTGTACATATTCATTATCTCCATAAGCTTTTGAGCTTTGTGATTGACAAGTGAATAACAGAACGCTTTCTCACCTTTAAGTCGGTGAATGCGAATTCATATGTCTTTCCAGCATCTCCAGTGAGCGTATAGGTACATGTGAGCTTTTTGGTGAACGCCTTTTGCGGTACTTTCCAACCACCGGCTAGATCGGATATTTTCAAATCAGTAGTACCACATTCGTCTGTGCCAGATCCTCCGCCAACTGTGAACAGCAATGTAGGAACGAAGAAATGCGGTGCATGAGATTTACTGAATAGTGGATTATTCCTGGATCGCACATGTCATT